AGGAATGCACAGTGCCACAGCAGCGGGAGTGGGAGGAATGTGAATGTGAGCCCCAGGCTCCCCCCATATTGCACTTGCTCGCTGAGGTGGCAGGTCACAGGCAGGAAGGAGACGATCCCTTCAGAGCCGACACTGGAAACACTCCACCTGGTGCACTGGTTTTAATTCTGACCATATTGTTACAAGAGGAAGATTGGAAAATCTGAGGAAAGTTCAAGTTAAGAGCCATAAAAATGAGCATATTGGGGAGTGTACTTATAAAGAACACACACACACAAAATACGTTTGCCTTGGCTAAGCTACAGCTGTGCATGCATGCAGAGCCACACGGACATATGTCCCAGGGACCAAGGGACACAGGCCTCATGTCCTTCAGCTGGTGGTGGTGGGGCTGCAGCTCTCGTGTGAAGCCAGGGGTTCTTGCTATGGGGGAGGGAATAAGAGGGGAACAGAGGACCTTAGTCTTTCAGCATGTGGCAGCAGAGAACAGGAGTGCACAAGATGTCTCAGGAGACATTTCCAGGGAGGTCAGGATAAAACTCAACAAAGGAGATGCGATTTGGGCATTAGCAGCCTTCCTAGGAGAGAGACTGCCCCTAGGGAGGTGCCCAGATGGAGAAGAGGTACACAGTGCATCTCCTTGCCAGGAGTGAATGCTGCCCATCCACCAGGAATTTAAAATCAGATGGAGAGGGCAGCAGGAAACTGGCAAGAGAGGAAATCTTGCCTCAAGACTTTTCCATCCTTTATGCCAAAAGCTCCACTCCAGTATTGGCAACTTCCCATTCTCTGGAAAACAGTGAGAAAACTTTGGCATCAGTTCAGAAGTCTTTATTGTGATAAGGATACAGAAATTTATGTGCGCATCAAAACAAAGAAAGATCTGTTTCATCAGGGCTGAGCTGCCAAGAGAAAGCACACGGCCCAAGTGACAGGAGGCTTGGACGGCTGTCCTCAGTGTGCTTCCCTTTGGCCTGTAGCGCTGGCACCGCCAGCAGCCCCAGCGTCCCAGAACAAGCTCTTCAGCCCTGGTACACGGTGAGCAGCCTGCAGAGCTGATGTGTCCCCCTACACAAAGGGCCGGAGCAGACGAGAAGGGGCATAGGTCCAGTGAAAGGCTGGGGAGCCCCAGCCAGCACCTGCTACCCAAAAAGCATCTCACCGCAGTGGTAATGGTCCCACTTCCACACACTCTGCTCCCAAGAGCGGACTGCAGTGATCCAGGTGGTTTTACTGTGCTCTGCAATGGGGCCAGAAAAAGCAGAAAGGCTGGCTGAGTGGGGAGAAGGGTTCATAGATCTTCTTGTGGGCATGGGCTGCTATCTACAAAAGGTGTGGGACAGCTGGAGGCACTCAGGCTTTCTCTTCTTCTCCCCCAAAATCTCAGCTCTCACCCCTGAGTGAAAGGGAGAAGGGAGTGAGCATATGCAAGTCACCAGGCCCAACCTCAGGCTGCTCCTGCAAAGCTGTCAAGCCCCACCTCAGGAACCTTCCCCAAAAGTCATCCGAGCCAGAAGCCAGAGACATCAGGGCCTCATCCCCACCAGGAAACTCATCTCAAGTCTCTGCAGGCTCTCGCAGGGCCTCCTGCTGTGAGACGCACAGATGGGAGAGACCAGGGAAGTCCAAGTGGTCTAGATTCTGGACACCCTAGAGGACTCAGCTGACGTATTAATATTTGCAAGATGAGAACACATGGTGTTAAAGGACTTCTTAACCTACAAGAGCAAAACTGAACCAGAGCCAGTGACTGGAAATTAAAGCCAGAAGCTATTAAATGAGAAATAAGGCACAAATAGTTACCAGTGAGGCAGATCAACTGCATTAACAAGAGAATCGATGCTGTCTTACTCTTTTCTGACATACCTGGGAAAATCAACTCCCTATCTTTTAGGGTCTGGATAGCTTTGAGTCAAGTCAACATCTGAGTCAAATGCAGCACAGAAGCAGAGAAGTGACTTTACTAAACTGGACACTTGGACTTTTTGGCCCAGATACTGCAAGTCCTACAATCACAGAGAAGGTTGCAGGGGGGGGGAAAAAAAAAATCATCCCCTTTACTGGGAAGGCTCAAGTACAGCCAGTGATACAAAAGGATCTCACTATGGCAGGATGCCTTCAGTCACCCAGTCCTGGAGCCTTAATCATTTCAAATGAGTTTTAAAAAACAGCTCTGGTATCTTCTTATGAAAGATTGTCTCAACTTTTGCCTGAAACAATGAAGTTTTCAAAAAAATAGTAATTTATATTCTTTGCATTTATTGCAGTTTGGGGCCATTGGGCTGCACTTAAGTCACATTTACAAGGTGCAGGTTTGGGTTTTTTGTTTGTTTGTTTGTTTGGGAACAGGACAGAGAGGGAAAGTGGGAGGGAAAAAATCACCTGATCACCTGACTCCAGAATCTAGGGTTACCAATTTAATACTATGGTTCTTGTAGTAAAAATACAAAATACTGGTAAAGCTGTTCTTTCAGATTCTGTATTTGACCTTTTTTTCCTTTGGCATAAACCCTTTCTGGGATGAAGAGAGCAGACAGGCACAGGCTTTCTCTCCACACCAGTTTCCACGTGGAGTTTCTGCATCAATTTCAGAAATTTCCTGATGGACCTGCCAGTTCCAGCATCACAGACAAAACTAGCTAGCACTGGCAGCTGCCTGCTCCCAGATGAGGTCTCAGCAGAGGAATTACCACTCCGCAGTTTTCTCATATTGTTAAGGTGATGAGAAGGACCCGTTCACTGGAAGGGGAACTTTTCCAGGGTACACGCTCTGCTTATGGAGGCTCCTTAAATAAGGAAGGCGGCACAGGACAGAGAATGGGTTGCAAGGAGGGCTGGAGCTCAGCATCTCAGAAAGGCTTGCTGGGGAGCTGAAGCGGCTCTGATCACACTTGCTTTATACATCCCTTTGAGCAATAGCCAAAAAATACCATTAATCTCTCATCTCATCTTTCCTCAAAACAACAGAAGGAAGACTCCAGTTCCAGATGAATCCCAAGGTCTCAATGTATTTGCAATTTGCAGATAAAACAAAAACTGGTAAATGGATAAACAGTATGGGGAAAGACCATTTGTGGGTTGATCTGGATCACTTGCTCAGGGCGATATTCTTTGAATAGCATGCATTTCAAGACAGCAACGTGGAAGGCAAAACATGTCAGGTTAAAAGACAATAATGCATACTGCAAGATAGTGACTGTTCTGGAATGCTATGGCAGGGGAAAAAGGCTCAGTTGCAATAGTTGAACTGAACAAAATAGCCCCAAATGAAACATTCTCTTAAGATAGCAGATATGACTCTGAGCTATGTGACGAGGGGACAGAGGACATATATCATTACCTTTATATACACTATTATAGAGTCTACTGCCACAAACTTTGGTATCCAAGCTTCAAAAAGATATCAAAAATTTCAAAAAAAGTTGAATCAAGAGCTACAAGTGAGGTCAGGACAAAGCACTTTATAGACTGAAGGTCAATCTATTTAATATGATACGATGATGACTTGCAAGCATCAACAAGAAAAAAAAAGGGATTTTCATAGCAAAGAGTTGCTTAGTCTTTTTGAAACGGGCAGGACAAGATCCAAAAATAGCTGAAGCCAACTAACTCAGAGCAGAAATAAGACAGGTTTCTGGAAGAACAGTGAACTGCCCATACATCTTACCATAAGATAGGGTAGATTTTTCTCTTGCTTTCAAGTCCTTCAACAAGTTAAAGCTCCTGCTTCTAGGCGTGAAGCAGAAGTGGCTGAGGGACACGCTCTGGCCTGCACTGCACAGAGGAACGACCTGGGTGAACATGAAAGCCCTGAGCTCTGATTGTGCTTACCGAAAGGAGAAAGGTTTATCTTGATGGCATGTTCTCCCCCGAGCCTTCTGCAGATTTGCTTGGAGAAACAGGTGAAGGTGTTTGTTTGCCATTCCTTTTTCCCATCACACCTGCTTTCTTTGGGCCTCTAGCACATACAGGTTATTAGGAGGAGAGGAGATTTCTTGGGAAGTAAACAGGCACCAGTGGCTTCTGAGCATCATAAAAATAGATTTCCAACTTACCTTTTTTGTGTTGGACCAGAGAATGGAAAAATGGAAGTAGTGCATAAACCTGATCAGTGGCATCCCCCTACCTGAGTGCTAGAAGATGGGCTGCAGTACATGGACTTATTGCCCCTAGGTCTTACGGTCTTGAGATGTTAAGTCTAAGCTAAGAGGAAAGAAAAGGAAATTTTCACTCATTTTGCTGATGCAGAGTGAATTGATCTGTGAGCACTTGTGCTGGTTAACTGCTGACAGCTGTTTTTTTAAAAGGAACATGACCTAATAAACAGATTTCCTAGATCAGAGGCTGATGTATGACACTAAGACAGGATTGCTTTCAGGGGTATGTACCTATAGGCATGTTGATGGGACCAGAGTCCCTGCAGGCACATGTGCTAGCTACTGGTCAAGAACCTTGGCCAGTATGAGCTGCTCCCACAAAAATCAGAAATGCCTGACTATGAACTCATGTCTTAATGTATACAATTGTCCTAGGGGCATGGAAACGGCTCAGTATAACAGCGAGCCTGCTTTGGTCCAGCAACAGCATCAGGAAGACGTGGGAAAGAGGCTTCTTGCCACCTGTGAAAGGAGCAGACACCTGCCCAAGCCCAGCTGAGGACTGGTGACCACCAGCACACTCGATTTCTCCAACCTTCTTGTGCCAGAGCAGCACTGGGGAGTGTAGCTACCCTCCAGGGGGTCAGCTGGGGGCCGGTGCCTGTACCCAGCTGGTGGAGCTGCAAGGGCTAAGGGCACGGGGAGGCAAGCTGGAGGTACACTGGCACTGTTTCTGTCCTAGAAGGGCTCTAGGGAACTGCTTCAGTGGAGGAGGAGCAGGATCACCCGACGTGCGATCACTTCCAGGAGCTCAGCGGCATGTGTGACCCTGAGATTACACTTGCAGGAGCACCGGCTCCCAAAGATTGCTGCCGCTCTTATCTTTATACTGCTGTGAGCAAGGCAAAAAACAACAAGCAGCAAAGTTTCAGTGAATGAAAGTACGACCCATTCAAGAAGGGGACACCATCTTGTCTGTCCTCGGTAGAGCATGGTGGTGAGCCTGGTGTCCCAACATCTGTCAGTGCAAGTGAGAGTCAGAAGAAATCAATGCCCTTGTACACAGTCAGTAGCTTCAGTGAGAGGCAAGAGGGGCTCTGCAGTCCAAAGCCAACTCTGCAGGGGAGCTCCTAGCCCTGCCTGGCTGGATTGGCATGGCCCCTCTCCCCCTCATGGCATTTCCTACACAATCCCCTTCTGCAGGCACTTGGGCTTGTGGAAGAGCAGCCAGGCAAGTAGAAGCACGGACACCAGCACTACAGAACAGAGCACCATCAGCCCCACGTAGCTGCTGTGGGAAAGAGGGGGCCCGGCAGGCTCCTCTGCAGGGATCATGTTGGTCAGGTTCAGCATGTAGCCCAGGGTCCAGCCCGCATCGCTGCTGCCAATCTGAAATGGGAGAGGAGCAGGATCAGCCCTGGAGGAGCAAAGGCTGCCTATGGCACGGCCAGGGCAGTAGCACCCCCTACAGAAAGGTCAGGACATACAGCAGAGGTTGCCAAGAGTTACCTGGGCAGAGCCCTCCCCACCAAGAAACGCACCTTCCCGAGGAAGTGGATTCTTTGCCAGTTCTCTTCAGTGAATTCATAGCCATTTTGCAGGAGGGAAAGAATGTAGGTCCCAGAGAAGCAGTATTCACTCAGATACTTTTCTTTTATTTGATGATACGCTGTCTTCACCTAGGGAGAAAGAAGTCAGTTAAACCTCGTTTTGCCACAGCTCTGGCTTGCACCCAAGTATTCACTGGAGGTCCTGAGGGCTCTTCCTATTCATGCCTTGGAAATTACCACCGACCCCTTAGTTCTACAGGAAAATATCAGCTTGCCACATGAACTCTCTGCCCACGCTCTCAGGGAGAGAAACGGCCCCAGCTGCTGCTGCAAGACTTACTCACCTCCTGCCAAGGCCGGGCACAGAAGCTCTGAACAGCACTGGCCACTTTGTCCAGAGCAACAGGGCTTTTTTCACTTGTCAGGTTCAAAAAGTTCATCACAAAGTAGAAAGCAGAAAAAGCCTGAAGGAGAAAGAACATTTTAACCTGACTGGGCTGCAGCACTGGCAGGACAATGGAAATTCCACAGGAGAAAGCAGCTTTTTTTGAAGAGATGCAGAAATACAAGAAATACACACAGACACACAAAAGAAGGGATGTTTTCAAGAGCAATGTCACTTCCAGATACACTGCTTAGAGTTGATGACAGTTAAGGATCCCAGAAACACGGACCAGGGGAGGAACTTCACTAACCACAGCATCCTGAAGCACTTCAGTAAATCCCCTCTCCTCTACGCGTTGGTGCCATTGTGGCACCCAGTGAATGCTACTTGCCGTCGCAACTGCAATCCCATTTTGACAGCTGCTGAGATGAACATGCAGCCAATACCACCACAAACAGGAGAGGCGACAGTGAGAGGACTGTTCACAATCCCACCTTATAATTCAAAGTCCAAATAACCCATCTCTGACCATGGCCAACAGTTTATATGTAGGGATGAGTTTATGAACAAAGCAAGTGAGTGTTAACACCTCCCCCAGATATTCTCACAGCTTCTGAAGACTTGAAGCTCAAGGACTGACTTTCAGTGTAACGGTGTCAAGCGTGATGTGCGTTCACAGCGTGTGCTACCTCCTCATCACGTCTGGGAAGCAGACAGGGGAGCTGATGGATTGGTTTCAGTAAAGCTCACACAGTTCTGGATGAATTTCAAAACAGGTAACACTTTTGTCCTCACGAGCCAAGGCTTGCAGGCACACAGCAAGCTCTCCTGCCTTTGGTGCTGGCCATTGGGAAGGACTGTTTGAAAAATAAATCAGTGAATGGAGCATGCCAAGGAGACGCCTGGAGAAGAGTGCTTAACATGAGAACGCTGCAGTACTGCCAGGCTGATATTGCTACTTGGTTAGCCCTTACAAGCTCTATCCTCACAGTATGTGCAGCGCTACTTTTGTAGTTACGTGCCCAATAAGCTGTCTTGTAAATGACTTCCTGCCCCAGCCATGGAGAATACACTCTAGCATTACTCTGAGTTTCTGCTCTTCTGAAATTCTGAGCTATAGAGTTGAACAATGCACAGACTCACCCCAAAATCCCCCTGTAATGGAGGTAGGTATATACCATTGAAGGAGCAACTGGAGTAAGGACAGCCGGTTTTGTTAAAGAGATTCTGGATGTTTCTTCGACACTTTTGATAATCTCCCTCTCCCTGTATGTACAGCTGGCTGAAAGGAAGTTGCTTTTTCTCAGCTGACGTACAAGGGTTTCTGAAGAGGTCACTTATATTTATAGTCCTCTGATACCCCTGGTGAAAGCATGGATCGAGGAGGCTGCCATTCTCAGTGGTCTGAAAGTAAGACAAACCCAAGTGATTACCTTCCACCCCACAGTAACGCCCTGGGAAACAGCCCTCGGATGGGTGGCCACAGGGCACTTGTCACAGTGCATCATACCAAGACACAGATCAGGACAAAGTGGTGAGGATGGTTTTAAGACATTAACTGCAATTTGGGAAACATGGGTACTGCTTCTTGCTTTAGCATAGCCTCCCTGTAGGACCTTGGGCAAGTTACTTTCAGCCATGCTTTCTGAAGTTGCTGTGCATTTGGGATTTTCAGAAGGTGTAAAACCATCTCCCCTGCATGCTTCAGTTAAGCACACTACTCCTGCTATCCCATGCCCGAGAATCATGGCACCTCAAATCAGTAGTACTTTTGAAAATCTTGGCTGTTATCTTCCTGAGCTTTTGCTCCAGTCTATATGGAGGTTCCCAAATGTAGTCTAAGGGATGAGACATTTAGCTGGGACACAGCAACTTGTGCAACTTATGCACAGTATGTCATAACTAGGGGGTCCAGGATCTCCACCTGCAACCACGGATGTACTTGCCTGAAGGTCCCCAGCCAGTTTCTGCTGCAGAGCCTGGTCTTTCCCATAGCAAAGGAAGCTGTGTGTGTACACTTTGTAGTCCTTGCCATAGAGACGGAAACGCAGCCAGCTCTCTGGGGACTCGTAAGGAATTTTATCTGGTACAAAGGTAATCTGAGTTGAAGCTCCTCCAAGGTCCAGTGCTCCCGATGTGTCACTTACAGATTTCAGGGCATGTAGAAGTTTTGTCCATCCAGACTTACAAAAAAAAAATTACAAATAAGACAGATGCATCAGGCCTGGAGAGGATATATTTCAGACAAAGAAAGAATCAGGGATAAGGCAAAAAATTTAGGAGGAGAAAAGCAGCAGCACAGAACACAGGAAAAAAAGGCCATAGCGGAGGGGCGGGGGTAGGATGTGAGGTGGAGTAAGACAGAAGAACAAGATGTAGGCTCAGAAAAACAGATGGATTGCGTCTGAGTGTTCACAGGAGGATTAAGAACATGTAATCCAATACAACTGCTATGTGAAAAAACAGTCAACTTACTATTTTAGCTCCCCCCAAATTTGTAAGCTCTATAGTAGAGACTCATTGTCAAATACTGAGAAGTTTTTAGTGGAACTTTGCAGATATTTACCCAGGCACAGAAATGTTTTAGAACAGGAAGTGAGGAGGATACTGTATCCATGCAAAAGACGGTGTTTTATTTCAGTGCTTGAAGCCTGACTACACTTGTACATCCTGACACCAGTTAGTAAGGCTGAGTGGATGGATTGTATTTCACAATAACTGCTGAGGCAAGATGCGCAAATTCCTGATCTCTGCTAAAGAAAGCTATTGTTTACAACACCGTCTTGCAAGGCATAGTTTATAAATTGCTGTAAGCCAATGATTCAAATATGGACTTGCCGTTGATACGGTACCTGCTTGAAACTGCCCAGCAGGTAGTTAATAGTGATCCATCCATAGGCTCCTTCTTCCTGACCACTGATGATTCTGGCACCCTGGAAGTTGAAGGGAGCTGAACGTAGTGTCTTCTCTACTGAGGATAAGACTTTGTCAGCTGCACTTCTATTCTCCAAGCTGGATGAATGGAAGAAAGGACTGAATGACTCTGGCTGACAGCTCTCAGCAAACTATGGGCTTTGCTCAGAGCAGGCAGACTACAAAACCCCACCAACGTTTAATTGTAAGAGAGTAATAGTTCATAGGGATACATCCAGCTATAAATGACTGCATTCCTCCCTCGGTCGCACCTCAACAGCACAGCCACCACCAGCCCTCATGCTTACAGACCCCGCAGCTGAGACAAGAGCTCCCTGGCTCTCCCAGAGCACATGCTGAGGTGGGGCTCGCACCAGGGATATTCCTCCCGATATTCACCATCGCCCTTACAGAGGAAAACCATGCCACTTGGTACCCCAGGGGGGTTTCCACTGGCAATACACACATTAGATTAGCTCCCTGCCCCAGGCAGGAAACAGCTCTGGGGCACCCCCATGAAAATCACTTATCCTAATTAAAGGAGGACACATGATTATAAATTTAACTTAGCTCTGATGTGAGCCAAGGTATATGGGGAGTTGCAAGATCTCTTACTGGACCAATTGATACAGTTTCAGAAAGGAGATACGTTCTTGGGCACAAAAGTCCTGGATCAGGCCTAATACTAGACCGTGGGTGAGGTCTGAGCATCCCCTCAATTCACTAGCTTGGCGATGACTACCCTCCTGGCACCTCTGCACAGCATGAGGGTGCTGGTGAAGAAGGAAGGTAGGAGCAGATGAAAAGGGATCTGCTGGGCACAGGGAGACTAGGTACAGGCTGGGTCTGGAGAGGGCAGGGCAAGCAGAGGGTATTTGGGCAAAGCGTGAACTTGCAGCATTTTAAAGGTTTTCACCCAGAGCTTCAACCAGCTATAAGGCTCTGTACCACAAAGGCCTTTTTTTGAGGATTGAACGTGTCCCTGTCAGGGCCAAGGTGGTCCCAGCAGTCTGCCAAGAGGCACCCACAGAGCATCTGCTGGGGCCCCACGCTCAGTGCTGCGGAGGGTCATGGCTGCAAACCCTGCAGTACCTGAGAAGCCGCATGCCAGCGGTTGCGCCGAGGTAGACAGGTGTCTCTGGGTGCTGGTTTGAGGGAATCACCTCCTCAGCTCTCCGTAAGCACTGCATCAGAGAGGGGCCTGCCTTCTCTGTGGCATGGGAGTAACCTGAGATCCCAGGGCCTGGGGAAAAAAAGAGAATCAGGACATTTCATTTCACTCTCTCCAAGCATAATTCCAGGTTCCTGTCATGAGCCCTGTACGTTAGACCTCGTCACTATCAGAGGCAGCAACGTCAGGTTCAACCATCATGTTTTTCTAGCCATAGCCAAAGATTTATCCCACAAACCTCTCACACAATGAATTCACTAAACAGGAAAGTCCTGTCCCCATGATTTCTTTCCCCTCCTAAGGACTTTTACAAATGCTACAGCATCAGCCCTTTCTCTAACCAAACACATGACCGGCAGCAATTTGCATTCTGCTGTGCAGGCCAGGGCCTCGCTGCTTCAGGGCCTGCAACAGCAGGCGAGAACTGCAAGGAAGCCCCATGCACGTGGGGACAGCTGTAGCACCTGGGGTCTGGTACCCAGTCTGTGCAGAGCAGTCAAGAAACTAGTGATGAGGGCTTCACTGAGACATGTTTTATACCTCCTTTTATGCCTTCCTAAACCATACAATATCCACATAGCGATTACGTATAATAAAAAAAGAAATCATGTCCTATACAAAAGCAAGTTGAGCAACCATGGCCCCCAAGTACAATACCTGGCTTGTTTGGAGGCCTTAACAGAGAGCAAACCCAGCTCAGAGGAAGGGAAGTGCGTTCTTTGGCATGGTTCTTTCCAAAAAGCACTTACCTCCATGCATCCCAAAAGGAGGGAAAAATGAAACCAACCTTCCTCTCAGGAAGGGCAGGCACACACAGCTCCCAGTGGGAAGTAATGACAGATACATTAGCTCTCAGACGTAACAGTGTTTTTCACTATTGGCCTCTTCCTGCAAGTTTCTACTCCCCCAGCCTTTTAGGCTGCTGTATCTGTTCTTCCTCCCATGCCCCTTCCACAGCTCCCCTTTCTCCTCTTACCTTCGACTTTACACACCTCCACCTGCTGGACCACTCCAGTGTCATTCTCCTTCTCTGCTGGCCAGTCATACACATACAGGTTAGTGTGAGATGAACCCGCATCCAGCACAATCCCATACTGCAGACAAAACAGATCCACCATCGCATCTGAGCCACTGAACTGGACACATGCATGTGCCAGTCCCGCACATGGAAGGGGACCAGAAATGAACTGCATATCTGGTGACTGCAGGAACATGCTGTCTCATTTAGTCTCATCAGTAGCAATTCAGTTCAAAGTCTCCATCAAAAGGATGTGAGAGCACCCAAGTAGCAAAAGTGGCACCGAGAACTTAAGAGACGAACCCCTGGGAAGCTCTATCTATTTCTGCTAAGGAGTTGTAAAAGGAGATGCTTGAGGTGCACGGAGCCAGAAAGAGAGATTAGCCAGGCCCTGCAAGGACAGCAAGGTGTCTTGGAGCCTGTTCTCCCCTATCTTCCCTGCCCTGGCTTGTTTTCCCATAAGCACCCCACCCTATAATACCTTAATATTCTTCGGAAGTGGCTTGTTTTGGGTCACTGCTACAGCAATTAAAGCAATTGCAGCCAAAGTAGAGAGAAATCCCAGGATCAGCAGAATCTTTCTTGTCCAGGACATCTTTGGTTTAGTACCTGTGACTATAGCAAAAAAAGGGGGCTGTTAGTATCCCAGTACCCATCACCCCAAAGGTCTTTGGGTATGCTCCTGCAGTCCTTTCCTGTTCTGCAGCATCTGTGGCACCCATGCTGAGTCCAACCGCTCTGTGTCAGTGCTGAGTTTGAACAGTGGTAGCAGCACTGATTTGTAAGCCGGGTCCCCATCCACCTCTGCCCATGCCTACACCAGTCTCCTGCTCCATCCCCTCACGTGGGACTGCGTGGAGGCAGAACTCGGGACAGCTGTCCCGCAGATCTGCTCTCTTGGGCCGTGCTGCATCTCCACAGGCTGCCCTGTGCTCAGTGGCAATGAGGGAGAACCTAAAGATGCAGCTTGTGGTTAACTGGTCCTTGAGATGACTGCATGCGACTGAGCAACGGTATAGCGAAAGCATCAGTATGGGGCAAGCCCCAGCTTCTGCTGGGGCTCTGCCCTTGGCTCAATAACCAGTAAAACACTGAAAGAACACCACATACTGCCAACAAACAGCATGATCTTTTGGAGCCAAAAGCTCTGGTATGTTTAATAAAATACCATCTACAACACAAAGCTCCAGAGAGGGTATCAGCAAAAGTATTTTCCACATTTATAATCCAGCTGTAAATTCAACAACTACAACTGAACAAATAGCCTCAGCAGTCTAGGGAACTCGCCTGCTCCCACTATGGCATGAAATTTGTTTTTTCCAGCCCTGGTGTTCCATATTCCAAAGCACTGATAGTCCAACTGCTCACACAGGTGCTAGTTCCTCTTTTTACACAGAAACACTCAGTTTTAGGAGACGTTTAGAGCATGCTATGGGTCATCCAGGGTCACCACACCTCTGTGAAGGTAAACACATTAACTTGGGCAACGTATTTCATTTTCAGGCTCAAAGTAACTGAACTTGACTTGCATCCATGTGCCAAAATTTGAGTTCCAGAGATCACTCTCCAGCCCCCATGCAATACTACGTCAATGCTTCAAATCCAACCTGGCACTCCGCTGCATGCCATGTAAATACGAAAAGCTGTCAAGTCCTGAACAGGAACAGCTTCTAACCATTCTGCGTTCACACAGAAGTTAACACCAGAACTATACAGACAAAAATGTTACCCAACCTTAGAAATGATCCAAAACCTGAGGGTTACTTTCAGAAGTTAGTCCACGTGAAAAATAACAACAGAGCTTTGGAAATCTTTAACTTTGTACCTGCAGGAAAATATTTTCTTCCCACCTACCTAAAGAGAATAGGACTGTGAAGTGCCAACTGAACTTGTCTGGAAAGTCCCCCCACAGGCAGGTGCCTAAGAAACCCAACGCTGACCTGGAGCTTTGTGCTTTTTCTCATTGTGCTCATGTGTAAATCCACTGAGGCTAACCGTGAAATTTGGAAGCTTGTTACTTTCATGAGTGCCTACTAGAGGCACAGCATGCTTGCCAATAGCTCCACGAATGCAGCTTCAAAAAATAGCACACATACTGGACAGCAGGAAGGAAGAATGGATTTTATACAGCTTTATCCAAAAAAGCCTCAGAACTCATAGCTTGAAGTGACTAGAAATGCCAGAGTATAACTGCTGGGAGACTTTTCTTCTTGATGAAAATAGTGGCTGGCTCAGCTTATGATAGCACTGAATATGTCCATTGACAACAAAATTATTTTAACCTCAGGAAATTGAATATCCAACAGATGATTTAGTGCATAATAAGCTGCATGATACAGATGTGAAGCCAGTGTGCCTGAAAACTGGAACTACCACTGACAGTTGTACAGCAAATCCACATAAACATTGCCATGCTTACTCTAAGATCTTGCCTCAAGGCAGCCACTAATGGCTCAGTTGGGTGTTTAGTGCCGTAGGATTGAAGGATGGGTGCCTTTGCATCAACTCAGAGATTTGCAAACTCCCTTGTTGTGATTAGTATTGTTTATCTGTGTTCTTTTTCAGCATCAACACCCTACCCTGGAAGTAGCAGTGTTAGCGCCAAACTAGAAATGATTTTCCTACTAAAATGGACTACTGCGATAATGATGCATACAAATCCTTGATCTATAGGCAGAGACATAATAGTAATTACCTGTATCCTACCTCCAACCTGAGATTAGTCTTTTTTGCCAAGGCACTTTACTGCCTTAACCCTGAACATGAATTCTGCCTGCTGAATTTTAACTCAACATCATAAACCCTTGTCAGGACTTTGGAGGTTGTAGGTAAATGAGATCATTGTTGTATTGCTTACCAAAGCATCAGTCTGCATAAACTCTAAAACTACCAAACAGTATTTTGTTGAAACCTTCCACACACAAAGAGGTACAAGTGACGTGCATAACCCAAAAGGTAACTTAGCAAAACAAGAGCCTTAAAAAACTTTAAGTGCACAGACAGGATTTTTTTTTTTTTGAGAAACACTGCAAATCCAGAAAAATAATTCAATATAATTAAAAACAACAACAAAATTCACCTGCCATTTCTTCAGAAAGTGAGGTATTGGAACAAATTCCCTCTCCTATGGGCTTGTTTAGCTCCATCACGTCTAGCCATCATGGCAGGTATTAAAATGACTAGGGAATTAAGTTAATTCTTGGACTCCTCCGGCTCCCTAGCACCCTGTGTTAACATTGCTTAATACCCTGCAAACACTCCTCAGACTTCACTCAGTTGGGCAGTACCACCACTGCCAACCTCTGTGACTCACCAGCCCTAGGACTTTTCCATCAGCAGTTTTCCTCACCTAAAGATTAAGGCAGCACAAACTTCCACCTCTGTGCCCAGCCTGAACCCAAATAGAGACAAATCTCTGCGCTTTCTCCCGTAGTGTCCACTGTAAGCAAAGATAAGAAAAATCATGTAAGGCTGTTAAATAGGCATAGCAAGTTACCCTGCTTTTCTTCTTCCCCACCCCAGAGCTTAGAGCTGCCTGGTGCTGGAGTCCTGCCCAGCTGCACAGGCATCAAGCAATCTCCAGATGTTGGAGCACAGCCCAGCTGCTCAGGCATCTCTGCCTGTTTCTAATTTTGGTCTCTGTTTTTTTGCAGGGCTATCACTAGCTCTATCCAGAGCACAAACAGGTCTAATAACTTTTCTGGCTCCGAGTTAGCCATCAACTGAGAGCGACATTGGCAACCACTTCAGCTGACAGCAGTTTTGCTGCAGAAACCCTTTCGCTCTCAGTGAATAACCCAGGAAAAATGGCACTAGTGTGGGAGGTAGCTCTGTGTGAAGGCAAGTGAGCAGGACTGTTGTTGAGCCTCAAGACAAACAGCAAACTGTTCCTCCAGCTGAAATCACTTTAAGTCACTGGCATGTCTATGAGCCAGGAGGTGTCACTCACAGCCAAGGCTGCCTACCTCTGACTCTCTTCTTACCCAACAAGACTTAACAACAAACCTTAAAGGAAATCAGGCAACCAACTGCTTCCAAAGCTGCAATAACACGGGCTGATGTAAGGACTGAAGTTAGGACGGTCAAGCAGAAAAGGAGAGATGCTGTGCACAGTCCAAGGCCGCAGGCCAAAAGTCTGTGTGCTCAGTTCAGATAGCCCCACTGTGATCCGTCACCTCTAATAAGCAGAAATACAGTTCTAAGCTCTGCTTTAGCATAGCAGGTAAAGCTGCTGTTTCCTGTTTTCTTTGGAAATTCACAGCCAGTCTGTTACAGAAGAGATCATAGGAGGCCCCGCTGCAAGAGCGTTCCCTTTCTACAAGCTGCTCAACTGCCACATCAAGTGACAGTTCCCCACTGACACCTTCATGCTCATTTGATTACATTTAATCAAATTAGCCATGCTGCAAGCTACGAAGAAGGGAACGTCCAAGACACACGGTCTGTTGCCCATGAGATTTGGAGTGACAACAGAGAATAAGACAATATTTTATTAATCTTGACCATCAGCCGGCAATTAGCTCTGCTGCTGATCACCCATGGAGCTGCTGCAGTCTGTTGGGAGCCTCTCCAATGACTGGTTTCCTAAACATACTTACAAGGTACAAGTGATGTGCATAACCCAAAAAGGTCTCTTTGGAGAAGAACTGCTAGCTGCTCATACAATCAACACCCCGGCAAATACAAATATATTCTGTGGAGTTCCTCAACTTGAGGACCCACTGAAACAGGTATCCTTGAAGATTGGGAAATTGAGAACAGTACAGAAATGAATCACTTGCCACCACGTTTTTAAAGCGAGGAGCAATGATTTACCTGCCTGACTGCCAGCTGCAGCCAGAAGTGTCTGAATAAACACAGGTGCCTAGGGCCAAAGGCTGCCCAAATCCCTCAGCAAGGCTGCAGGGCAGCTGCTTGCAAATGAACCTCACCCACATCAGCAGAGAGCCCACTAGAGAGCAACCTTGACAACATGGTCTGTGCGTATTTACTAACTGCAAGAGCTCGTGTCC